ATATATATATATATATATATATATATATATATATACATGTATATATATATATATATATATATATGTATATACATGTATATACATGTATATACAGTATATATATATATACATGTATATACATGTATATAATATATATACATGTATATACATGTATATATATATATATATATATACATGTATATACATGTATATATATATATATATATATACATGTATATACATGTATATATATATATATATATATATATATATATATATATATATATATACATGTATATATATATATACATGTATATATATACATGTATATATATATATACATGTATATATATACATGTATATATATATATACATGTATATATATACATGTATATATATATACATGTATATATATATACATGTATATATATATATATACACGTATATATATATACATGTATATATATATACATGTATATATATATACATGTATATATATATACATGTATATATATAATATAACATGTATTATATATATAACATGTATTATATACATGTATATACATGTATATATACATGTAATATACATGTATATATTATACATGTATGTATATTATATATACATGTATATTATATACATGTAATATATATATACATGTATATATATATACATGTATAATATACATGTATATATATATACATGTATATATATTACATGTATATACATGTTATATATTAATACATGTATATATATATATACTGTATATATATACATGTATCTATATATACATGTATATATATATATATATTATATATAATATATACATGTATATATATTACATGTATTATATACATGTATATATATACACATGTATATATATATACATACATATATATATATATACATACATGTATATATATATACATTATATATATATACATGTTATATATATACAGTATATATATATACATATTATATATACATGTGTATATATATCTACATGTATAGATATATATACATGTATATAGATATATATACATGTATATATATATATATATACATGTATATATATATATATATACATGTATATATATATACATGTATATATATATACATGTATATATATATACATGTATATATATATACATGTATATATATATACATGTATATATATACATGTATATATATATACATGTATATATATATACATGTATATATATATACATGTATATATATATACATGTATATATATATACATGTATATATATACCATGTATATATATATACATGTATATATATATACATGTATATATATGACATG